AGCATATATGTTGACAATCATACAACCGTAGAAGACTCCGGTATAAGTTAAAAAAAAGAGTTGAGTCCAGGCCACAGATAAAGGATTGAATTGCTAGAACATTGTATCATGGATATTCCATAGCGTCCATGAAGGGCTAAAGTAATTACTAATACCATGAGCCGCAGATCGGAAGATAGCTTAAGCCTACATAAAAGATGATTAGAAGGAAGAGGAAACTAAAGAGTTACATCAACGAAGTAAATCAGGAGTCTGATTATTGAACCCAGAAAAAAATTATAGAAATCGTGATTGACAACATAGCGAAATCACTCTTAATATCAGAGGTACAAGAGAGATAGTACAAGAGCCATATTCTATGACGGCTCTACAATAAATCCAGTTAGAAGAGTACCAACCTCATAAGAAGTCAGTATGAGGCTCCCACCGGATTGTGTATTCACCAGAGGTGCAAGTATTATAATAAAGCTCTAAGTTGTGAATGTGAATCATACCTATGTGGAAGGGAGGTTATCAAAGAGATGCAAGATGTGATGCATGATTTTAAGGTAAGTAAGGTAAAGGTGAACAACGTACGAGATACTCAAATGCAAAAGGTTGTGAATAGTCCATACTTCGGATAGAAGGCTAGAAGCACGGGGATTCAGTATCCAGGAATGATAGCAGCATCGTCAATGGTATATTTTCCAGCCTATGGTTTCTAGGTACCGAGAGATCTAGCAAAGAGAGTAAAGAAGAGTTAGAGACGGTGAGATGTCTCGCTTGATGTTCCAGAATAATACAAGGAAATCTATGGTGCAAGCAAGATTGCGAGTAGTATACATGGATATATGTAGATCNAGATATATGAAGGTCGCAAGCTAAAGTATGATAGAGCGACAATGTTTTAGGAAAACAAGAGTAAGAACAAGAAAGGGTGAGTGAGAAGGTGACGAGAATGAATAAGTTCTCGGGATTAAGCCCATGAAAACAAGAGAGCTGATAGGTTCTCTAAGTAATAGAAGGCTCAGTATAGCCTGAATGAACTCAAAGGAGTCTAAGACTACTAGCATTTAGAAGAGATGGAATGCTGCCCTGGAAATAAAATGAAGGTGTAATTGTGACAGATAAAAGATAACGTTTGGGCCTTCGATTGAATAATGATTTGAAGAAAAAAAAGGAGAAGGAGAAAAGATTTCACGGACGGCACGAGATCAGAATACCCTCATAAGGTGAATCACATCGAGATACTATGAAATATGATTATGGAAATAACTTCAAATATTCCTCGATGCAACGCAAGCCCTAGTGGCAAGGTTTTACGTAAGAAGTTTCAAGTTATCAGTGGTATATTGTAGATCAATATTGAGGCAAATAATAATGGATGGACAAAAGTCACAAAGTATGAGCTGAGATTAGGTCGTCATTCTTAAGATGAACAGTAACAAGGAAGCATTAAATGACTTAGATTTATACATATGGATAAACAACAAGAGTAAGCTGATTTGATAGCAGACCTCCGCAACGATAAATCGAAGTAAGAATTATGGTATAGTATGGCCTACTTAGATGTAGTAAAGCTAATGACACCCAGAGGGACAACTTGACATAATTTTTATATGTTCACAAAGTGAAGCCTAGAGATTGGCTAAAAGCTGGAGAAAAGAGAAGAGAAGAGTCGCATAGGCGCACATAAATGACTTTATTCATAAAAATATTAAGAGTGTCTATATTCTTGAATCCCCATGTGAATTATTATTATATCTTCTGTTCATGGGTCTCAGAAAAATACGTATTTGATAAAATTTATCCGGCAAGCATATTATTTTTATGACATTCCGAGAAAATCTTATTAACGTATTTCTTAAGGCATATTATTTTTATGACATTCCGAGAAAATATTATTAACGTATTTCTTATGTATTTCATGCATTTATACATGTACATTGACTCATGACCAGATGTCGTTTTATACGCGTATATTATATGTATATGGGATATGGAAAAATGTTATGGCGTTATATACGCACCACTATCTGATCAGCTGGTATACATTGATGATTTACCCACACTGGCTGAAATGATATGATGGGATACCCTCAAAGGCTTGATGATGCTATGAACGCATATACCTATGCATGGTATGACATTTATACGCATATGCATGACATTATAAAAATGAAATGACTCACAGAGCTATGCACACGTACATGTCGAGTCTTTTACTCCATGTTTCTCTCATGTCTATTATTTACTGATTTTCATTCCTTAGATACTCGGTACATTATTTGTACTGACGTCTCTTTTGCCTGGGGACGCTGTGTTTCATGCCCGCAGGTCTCGATAGACAAGTCGAGAGTCATCCAAGTAGGCGATGAGCTCAGCGGAAGATGTTGGTGCACTACATTTGTTCCGGAATTGCTTATGTGGTCATTATGATTAGAACATATACTAATTAGTATGGTGGGTCCCTGCCCCGACCTTTATGACATTTATGTACTCTTAGAGGCTTGTAGACATATGTCGTGTACGTGAAAGATTGTACGATCTTGTCGGCCTATGTTTTGAGTTTATAAATGATGATGTTGTCCTATTAGGCCCGTATGTCACGTGTATATAATGATGTAATAAGAAAGATACATTACGCTGGTACTTGCTTGAGTAAGGTACCGGGTACCCATCGCGGCCCGTCGGGTTGGGTCGTGACAGCTACCGTTCCCCCCAGCCTTGTCGAAACCGACTTCGCCCCTTGGAGTGTTGTTGTCGACCCTTTGTATTATTTAGTTTGCGGGGACACCGGGAGGAATTGGACCTCATCCATTTGCGTTGTTGGAAGCACCCGACAGCACCTGCCTCAACTCCGTCATGACCTGATCCTGTTGTGAGAGATGGACCATAATAACCTTTTGTTGCTCCCTCAGGATCCTTACTATTTCAGCGACGTGCTCGCCTTCACCATCATCGGGAGTTGCCTCTCGAACATGTCGTGGATATTACCCGCTATAGACCGGCGTTGCCTCATCCCCCTTATTGCGGGTATCGTTAATCAAATCTTCGTGCTGAGGCTGATTTCCTTGGGCCTCAACGTTGTGTGCGATGTTGACATTGTTATCTGTCATTTTATGTGATTTTTGCTAAGAACAAAGAATCAAACAAGTCAGTAATAGATGCAAGGATCATCTCAATTACACAGCTGTCTAAGCCTCACGGTGGGCGCCAAACTGTTAACCCGTAAAACGGTATAGTTGAATTTATACGTTGTTTAAAGACAACTGAATCAATTTGATCCCAAAATGATAAATAAATTAAGCAAGAATGTAAGACTTAGCGTTGAAATCAAGGTGAGATAACAGAAATCCTGTTTCTGGGAGCAGAGCTTCCGGAGGCAGCAATAACGATATTAATAAGCAAGAAAATAAAATATTATTGATCTTTGAACAGTGTATAGCATAAACTTGTCAGAAAATTCCTCCCCTTTCAATGGATGTTGAGCTCACTATTTATAGTTGCACCTAAGGAACAAGGTCCTAGAATCAAGCCCCTCTTAAACGACAATTATGGGGGGCCTTGAAGAATGTGTAACGATAGGCAGTGAATGTCATATTCTCTTGTAACGGACTATGCAGTTGATGCTATAGAATATTCTCCATTAAATGCTACCGGGTGGCAGACATTTATTTTGTCTTTATGAACAACATTTCCTTCGGGAACAAACGAGATTGCTGCCCTCGGACTTGATTGCCATTTGCCTCGCTATACATCTGTCTTCAGCTCCAGATATCACTTTATTATGCGAGCATTTAATATGAACATATTTTACCCTATACACCCAGGAATTAAATGGGCTGTCTTTGTTGGTTCAATAAAAATTCAAATCAATATTTCTTTAATAATTTTATCTATTATTTCAACTTGAATTTGAAATGAAAATTTGAAACTAAAAACTGGTTCAATGAGTATTTCAAGTGAAGTAATGATTTGTACTTCACAAAATTCAACATTTTAATGTCCAAACATCGTTTTCAATTTTAACTTTAAATACTTATTTTTTAAACTCAATCAAATATAAATGACCATTCAAAAGTCAATCCGTTTTCCTAAAACGTACACCCGGGTCAATATTCCGTTCATTAATCACCCAATGCGTTCTTGACACATAGATATAGACGGGTTGAATTTTTGGCGATGATTTGCGCAAATATTCCTTTTTAGGATACTGTTTAAATTTTGTAACTATTTGAAAAGTTGCACAAATATAATACTTGAAAGTATTCCTTCCAAATAATGTTAATCTCGGATCTAATTTTTGTTTATATAATTTTCAGTTTGCTCACCAAACATTGGATTATGGTCTAAAGTTTGCAATATTTTAGACTCTTGCCTAATATTTTCTAATGAGATTTTATTTTGCTCAAACAGAGTCTAATTCGTGGTCTAAAAAGTTTATCAATTACAATATAAGTAAAAAGAAGACCATTTACTAAACAATTGATATAAAAAAAAAATAAGTGATAAAATTTGGAAAAATAATACTGTATAGTCGCTCTTAAAATAATAGCAAAAAAAAAATATTAGGTGATATATATATATATATATATANTGAGGATATATATATATATATATATATATATATATATATATATTGTATGTTATATACAAAAAAAAATATACAAATTTTATATAGTTTTGTGGCTATCGACTAAAAATATTTTCGGTCTCGGACTAAAAGTGATCTTCCCCACAAAAATTTCACGTGAGCCATTTTGTTCTAACCAGTTTTCAACAGACCCAAATCCAAGTACTCAATCTGCCCATTTGCCACCACTTCCAGCAAATGACATACTATTAGTTCTGCATGGGCCTCTGACGGTCCAGATTCTTTCAAAACGCATCAGCACCACACGTTCAACATCACACGTCGAAGGTGCGCGAGCCAAAAATTCTTTGTTGCCTGTATATATATGAACAAATTAAAAAGAACCTCTTCAAGATTAAGAAACCATTATTAATACCAACAGCACCTTCTTGTTTGGCTTTAGAGATGAACCAGTGTGTACCCAGCTGGGATCTAGAAAATTCCCTTCCTCATCAAAACCTTGCTCTTTCCTCTCACTCTAACTCCAATAATTCCTTTGTAACTGATGTCCCCTGGTATACTCTCTTCCCCTATTTCAATCATTAGATCTAGTTTTTCCTCTTGTTTATGAGGTTTAATTCTTTTTTGTATGCAGGTTGGATTATGAAGTAGCAGAGCTAACGTGGGAAAACGGGCAGCTAGGAATGCATGGTTTAGGTCCTCCACGCATGCCTAATAATAATAAGCCTTTATTCAATTCTTATACATGGGATAATAAGGCACATGTTGGCGGCACCCTTGAATCCATAGTCAACCAAGCCATTGGCATCCCTCATGATCATCGGAAGTCCGCCGTAGACGGAGGTGGAGATAGAGAGGAAGATCTAGTCCATTGCTTCGACAAATGTCTTGTTAACACTCAGGCAAGCACGGCCACAGTCAGTGTGGCCATGGATGCCTTGGTGCCAAGTTTTGCACACCCCCAAAATTTTCACCAAGGTGAGCAACTACCCACACACGTGCCGGGGATCACCACGTGCTTAATTGGCGACTCCACGCACGTGATATCACGCAGCGGTGACGTCAACAGAACGGATGGGGAGATGTCGCGTGCGAAAATAGGAGCTTCCAGCTATGAGGAGATATCAAAAGACTTGGAGATCACCGAGTATTTTGGAAAGCAAGAGGTTAAGAACTTGATCAACGAGAGACACATCGATGCAGTACTGTTAAGAAGCATGGCTGACCCGAGCATGAGCCGGAGAGACACAATTGACACGGGCGAGAGGGATTTGGTTGCGGAAAGGTTCACATCTACATCTGTGATGTCGACTGAAAACACAAGCTCCGTTAAGAAATGCACTAGTAAAAGGGTGGACGAACATGACTCTGTTTGTCACAGTAGATCTCACGTAAATCTATCATTTCTTTTCATTATGAATTTGAGTTATGGTTTTTACCACGCTTCTTTGGAGTAGTTTTCATGCAATAAAATATGATTGTATTTACTGTGCATATATACATGGAATCGGAAGCATAACAACTTTTACACTATCAGACAATATCAGTATATTTTATTTGATGTTACTGTCAAGGTTACCAGTTTCTTTTGTAAGGGAATGTTACCTTTGGTTGTGGTTCTATAGTGTACAAGGTTTCTTTATGTACTATAAATGCGTAGTGCGTAGTTAAACTGATTTACTGAACCTTGAAATATTTCGTGTTTCTTTTTTTATAAAGTGATTCAAGCTGTGCAATATTAAATGTTCGTGGTCTTTTCTGTTATCTCATAGAGGCAGGAGACAGGAGATGGGGATGATAAGAGAAAAGGATCTAAGATTTCCTCATTTTCAACAAAGAGGAGTTTGTCTGCTGTTACTCACAACCAATCTGAACGAGTGAGGATCCCTCCCCCCCTCTCTCTCTCTCAAGATCTTTCATATAAACTGTTTTGAACTACTAATAAAGAAGTACAATTGTCTTTTTTTGATAAATTAATAACAACAACAATGAATTGATTATATGTTCTTTTTCTAGAAAAGGAGAGACAAGATAAACCAAAGGATGAAGACATTGCAGAAGTTGGTTCCAAATTCGAGTAAGGTAAGGTATTGAAATTTAGAGTTTATATTTACCGTCTATTTTTTTTTCTAGCTCTACTGATATTAATACTTATCTAGATTGCTTCAGTTCTATCTTTACTTGAAAAGCACACAATAAAAGGTGTAAAAGCTGTGGGACCTTAGCTTAAATACAGAATATTTCTAGTCCTTGACTTATTTCTGCTCTCGGCCACTTCATTACTTCCCAACCGTTATTTCAAATAATTTATTTTCCTTATATTTTTTCTCGAGAAGTCTTTGGCTACTGATTAATTTTATATAGTTACCTAATGTGCAATTAGAAAGACATAAATATGTGCACATAAAATTCAAGCTTAAGTAGAACTGACCCACAAAAGTCGGCCACGTTGCTGAAGTGGAAGTGAAAATTGGCTAAATTTCAGCAGTTAAGTTATCCCCCCTCCCCCCTAAAAAAAAATAGCCTTTTTATCATATTTTATGAAAGACTATTTGATTTATATGGAGCTTACGATATCAGTTTGATTTGAATATAATGTCAGTAATGTGAAAAGTCATTAAAATAATAGCTAAAAACTAATTTGATAGAGAAAAATCTAGGGACTTGTAAGAAAGTATAACATAATATAAAAAATGAACTGAATCATTTAGGATGTCTACAATGAAAAAAGAAGTGCCGAAGAAGAACATAAAAGTGGACAGTTTTAATTTAATGACTGAAAATAGACAACAGACAATTTTGTACGAGGCGGTCCTAATCTGTTCGAAGGCATTAATATTTGGAAAGTCTCAAATGAACCGAGTCCACATGCATATCCTATGAGGAAAAACACTCGACAAATAGGACCCTAACAAATTTTGTTGTTTTTTGCATGTCAATCATTGCTGACATTTAAACCATTTGACACTGAACAAAATATGTTTTTTTCTTTTAAATGGTTCCTTACTTCTTTATTCTTATCTAAACTTGTTCTTATTTGCATTGAATGAGTTAATACAAAGTAAAAGTGGTCTTTGCGGAAAGAGTAGGATCCACAATACTACTAAAGTCAATCAAAATAGAGTATCATTGCATCATTATTGGGAGTATCTTTTTATGTGGAAGATAAGGTAAATGTTCAATAGTATCTTTTAATTTGCACCTTGTATATGACTTCAAAATCTATTAAATATGTATAGATATTCAATTTCAAAACCAATAACTCTACTAAAGTGAATTCAACTATACCTGAACTCATAAAGTTCAAATTTAAAGTCTAAACCTTCCTCTCTATATATATATATAACTTACTAAATTGTTATACATGTGTCTGTTGCAGACTAACAAGGCATCGATGTTGGATGAAGTGATAGAATATTTGAAGCAACTACAAGCTCAAGTTCAAGCAATGAGCGGGATGAATAACAATATGTCTCCAATGTTGGCAAATATGGCAGTGCTGCAGCAGCAACAACAGCTTCAAATGGCATCCATGGGAATGGGAATGGCTGGATTCATGCATATCAATGGCGCCCTTATAAGCCGCCCCAACATTACTGCAATGCCAATGCCTTCACTTCTACATCCCACTGCCTCTAATTTCATGCCTATTGCCTCTGGGGTTAGCCCCGGAGATCGTAATATAAATGCCGCTTCTCTTGTCCCGGATCCATTAGCTGCCTTCCCTACTTGCCAATCACAGGTAAAAACGAGAATATATTATTATTATTACGCTTGTTAAATGTCAATGATCAATTATTCAAGATTTTTAAAATAGTCATTATCAGGTCTATTGCATGAAAATATCGGTCTATTGTGACTATTCATCTTGTACAAGGTTTGGGTCCAAATGGTGGTGCTTCTAATTAATGTTTTACTTACTAGTATAACAACTTGATACTACTATTTACTTTGTACATTTGTTCTTAAAAAATACTATACTATTATTTATATATACACATGTAAGAAAAGTTTTTTGCCAAGCGGTGTCTTGACATCCTTAATAAAAGTGTAGCATCTAGAGGGGCTTTTCTTATTATTGTTATTATTATTATTATTATTATTATTATTATTATTATTATTATTATTATTATTATTATTATTATTATTATTATTATTTACCGGCCAAAACTTGCTGCAAAATGAAGAATTTTCTGTTAAAGAACGGATTTTAACAGCTTTGGAATATGAAATCATTTTTGCAGCCAATGAACATGGATGCTTATAGCAGGATAGCAGCGTTGTACCAGCAATATTTACAGCCCCCTGCGAACCTTGGCTTCAAAAATTGAGATAGAGCAGTGTTTCTAAAGTTTGCAAACTTTGGTTGAGCAATTCGAATTGCCAGCATATTTCAAGTCTATGGCAACTTGGCCTATTGTAAAAAGCTTATTTTAACATTTGAATCTGATGTTCCTGAAACGTGCTGAAGAAACATATATGTAAAGACAATTTTATATTTCTTTTAATGTTTTGACAGTTTAAACATAGTGTATCATAGTGTAATTGTTTTTTCTCTTCTGCAAGTAAATAGAAGTGTGATAGTAAAAATTCATGTGCGTGAGTAGTTTATTTTCTTGTCCAACTTTTTGTCCCGCAAGAAAAACACATATTCGTGACGAGTTTTTTGTGATGAATTTGGTGATGGTTTTATGATAGAATGCATCAATTTTGACGGACTAGTGACATTTTTATGACTATTTATTCTGTTATCACAAAATTATTACGATGCTCGAATTTGTGATGAAATTTTCCATCACAACTTTTTTTTATGCAGTACATTGATCCATTTGTGCCTTTCTCTATGGAACAATTTAAACTTTTATATTTCATTTTTAAGAAGGAATGTTGCCACATTGGCCCCTCAAATGGTACCTACGGAAAAGTGTGGAGCTTTTTAATTTAAGGGGTCGTTTGGTTTGAATACAGATTATGTTGGAATAAGTTATGTTGAGATTAGTTATCCTCATATTATTTTTTATCCACTATTTGGTATGTTGTATTAAAAATGACATGCATTGCATAATTACTAAGAAGAAACTATTTGTTTACAAAAATACCCTCCATCTTATTTAGCCTCCATCTTCTTGCTCCTTTATCTAGTTGAAACGTCAATTTCCAAACAAGTATTAAATAATTTTTGACAAGAGTAGGTTGCTCTAGTGGTAAGCACCCCCCACTTCCAATCAAGAGGTTGTGAGTTCGAGCTACCCCAAGAGCAAGGTGGGGAGTTCTCTTGGAGGGAAGGAGCCGAGGGTCTATCGGAAACAGCCTCTCTACCCTAGGGTAGGGGTAAGGTCTGCGTACACACTACCCTCCCCAGACCCCACTAGTGGGATTATACTGGGTTGTTGTTGTTGTTGTTGTATTAAATAATTTTTTGAGGCTCTAGTTTTCAATTTTTTTTTTTATATATTTGCTGATTTCTTCTTCTAAATCTTCTTGTTGATATCGGACAATAGTTGATGATCCATAAGAAAACCTAATTTTGCCATAATAAAAATGAAAAGAATTAATATACAAAAACTTTCAATTGGAGAAAGGAGTCTATGAGCAAAAGTTTATAATTTTCAAGCACATAAAGAGAAACAAATGAACCCAACGAATATTTGGAAAGAGGACCTTAGGGCTAGTTTTGTGAATTTTACTATTTTGTCCTAGGATAATAATCCCAACACTAATTATCCCATCACCTACAAAGTATAAGTTATTCCGGTACTAATTTTAATCCTGGGATAATTTATCACAGGTTTTGTAACCAAACAAGGTATAAGGTGATATTAAATTTTTATTCTAACACTATTTTTACTTATCCCTTATAACAAAAGACCCCTAAGAGTCCTAGGCGGACCTTTCCATGCATAGATAGTGGTTTTGTTGTGAGCTTAGGGTATCTCCAACCTTTACCCTCCAAAATGGGGATGGGGACAACTTACTCCAACCATTACCCCATTTTCCTCCAAAAGAGAACATATTTTTTATATTCTTATCTCTCTTCTATATTATATTATTATCTTTCATTTTAATTTTATTTTTTAATTTTTATTAAACAAATTTCATCTTTTATTTTCATTAATTTGTAATTTCCATTAAAATAATTCCATAAAATTTTAAATAACATAATTTGTAAGCAATTATTATAGATTAACAAATAATTCAAATAAAAGTAAAATCATTGTGATACAAGATTAATTAAATACATATTACATAACAATAAAATTCATTCGAAATACTACATAAATATTCAACATCAACTTTAATGTATTTCTAATTTTAATGTATTTTCAATTTTAATGTATTTCAATTTTCGCTACATCAAATATTTTATATTTTCACCTTTCATTTTTTGTGATGGTTATATCTTTTTCATACAATTATAACTCATAATAAAATTAACTACCAATTTTACATAAAAAAAAAAATAGATGCACGATAATTAATTTTTCAAAATTATACGTCAAAGTTAAGATGAAAAATTAATTAGGTAAATGTATTATATAAACATAATTAAGTATATATAAAAAGATAAATTAAAAGATTAAATAATAAAAATAATAATAATTTAATTAAGAATAGTAAATGGGGAGATGAATAGTGTGTCCCCAAATTTGGGGACACACTATTCACTCCTTATTTTAAGGACAAAAGTGGGAGAGGGTTTGAGTGAAATTTCCCGGTTGGAGTTGCTCCTAGAATCTAAGACATGTCCGATAGGCAATAGGCTAATTATTTTCCACCTTTATGAAAGTAATCGTTCTTATTTAAATCAAGATCTGTGGCCCTCATCCCTCTAACCAAAAGACAACAAAAAAAGAGGATTGTTTGTGAGCTGTAATTTACTCAAGGTAGAAAAAGTGAAACAGCTTTCCTTTTGATATTTTTAAAAGTATAACCTAGGGTCAGAGGCGGAGCCACAGTATTGGCTACGGGTTCGACCGAACCCGATAACAATGGTTCAAATCATATATTTGTATTGAAATTTTTATTAAAAATTATTAATTTAGAACACAGTAACTTAAAAGGATTAGGTTTCTGAACCCATAAGCTTGAAATCCTGGCTCCGCCTCTGGCTAGGGTGATTTCTTTTTTGTTGTCTATCAAACTCTTGTAATTTGGAGGCTCAAACTATTTTTCGATTTTTTTTTCATAGACTTCAAAATTATTTTTAATTGTGGCAATTTAGTTTATAGTATTTTCCCGTTGCTCCCACAAAGTAATGTCATTTTCGAATATTGTCATTTTTGTATGAATTGAGATCGAAAATTAAGCAGATGATTTAACTCTTGTATTTCAAACTCCTCACTTTAACACTACCTGAATTTGCAAACTTTATCCCAACAGATTAAGGAATTGTTATTTGCATTTTGGACAAAAAAAATCAGATAGTTTAACATTGTCCAGCGGACCGATCATCTTTCTGGGACAAGGAATTACCTCATAATCATTCTTCTCTAATCATTACGTAATAGTTATTGACGATGACTACTAAATTTTGTCTTGAATTTTCTAAGCTATTCATATCGACATAATAGTCGTTTTTTCATTTTATATGCTTTGGTATCACTGTGCCTAAAATTTAAGAAGGTAAAAATAACTTTCAAATCTTGTGGTGTCAAACTAAAAATTAGTATAACATATTTTTTTAATACCTTTTGAATCTTATAATTTTAAAAATATCGTGCCTTTTTCTATAAGGGTGTGTCACTAAAAGGTAAATGGGAATGTTGGAGCTAAACACTTGCTAAATATATAAAAGATATTATTCTTTTTAAAACAAACAAAAAAGGAAATAAGTCACATTGTTCTTCGGGCAATAGATTTATATGGTGAGGATAACCATTATTAATTGATTGCTAACTTTATAACTCATGTAATCTATCTATCTATATCTATATCTATATTTATATCTATTCTATATCTATACTATTTTAAAAGCACGAAGGTCCTTAGTGAAATGTCGTTCGCCTTTTTTATTGTTATAAAATAGAGTTCGCACTAGACAAAATAATAATTTAATTAATTGCCTAATACTTAGGAATAGTGATTTATTATTTTTCGAATACTTAAAATAATTATTTAATTATTTTTTTAATATTTAGGTATAGCCATTAAATTAATTTCCTAATATTTCGAATTATACAAAGTTTTGCCACTTTGTATTCCTTTTAGGTTTAGGCTGTATTAATTAGTTGATATTCTTTTCTACGCTAAATATAAACATTGTTATTCTATTGGGTATTTAAAAATCAAGTATATTAATTTATAAAGTAAATGTAGTTGATAGTCTAAGAATAGTAACCTTCTGCCAACGATTAATATATTATAGTAATTATAAAGAAATTTTTGTATTGTTAATGTTTGTTCTAAATCCTTCTAAAATATACAGACACATACATGTGCAACATATATTAGAGTTCTAAATCTTTGAATATGGACACTACTCACTAGAAAAAATAGTTATTTATTATTTTTTAATATTTAAGAATAGTAATTTAATTATTTTTCTAAAAATTAAGATTCTAAAATTTTTTTATTTGAAAAATATACGAATCCCTAATTTTAAAATTTTAAAATAAAGTATGATTTTACTTTTATAAATCCTAATAAATATTAAAAAAAATTTCGACGTCGGCGGCTTATTATGTCTTCTCGGGGTTTTCTATCAATATTGTTTGGTGTAGATCAATATTGAAAAATTATTAGTTTCTTTTTTATTTTCGTGCTTTCTTACAAAAAAATACTAGATCAATTTAAAGCAAGGTATTGGGCATAAAAAATATTTTTTGACTATTCTTCTCTCTTTCTTCATCTTTTTATTTTCATATGACCAAATACTAGCAATTTTAATTCTTTTCAGTTATTCAAAATTACTTTATCAGCAAATATAGATGTTAAGCAGAATACAAAATATCAAATAACATATTCGCCTAATAAAAAAATAGAATTGTAACATCAACATGCGTAATATGTCCTAGAATTTAACATCATTACGAAAATCTAAGAAAACGTATTTATCACAAGATGATGAGAATTTTGGCTTTTGAAAAAGTTAATTAGTGCGGGTTGAAACAATTATCTTTGGAAAACATATTTTTGCTAATTTTTATTTATCATAAATATCTTTTAAATATACCATTTATATTATTTTAAATTTTTTATTTTTATTAACATGGGTACACAAGCAATGCGCGTCTCCTAAGACTGGTACTGTATTAAAAGCACGAAACTAGTTAGCGAAACGTTGTTCGACTTTTTTAACCCTTAAAATCAGATTTCGCATTGGATGAAATTGTAATTTAAGTTAATATCCTAAATTTTAAGATTTTAAATCAACTAAAATTTTGGTCATTAAATCTTCCTTATTGAATTAAGTAAGAAATACTACTATTTAGGATTTAAAATCAATTAAAATACTACTATGAGTTTG